AAACCCCAAAACCCCAAAACCCCAGAAGTTTTAATTTAAATTTATGTCAGAGATCATGTAATTTAATCAAAAATTAAAATAATATAAGATATTATCTTCGAAATCAAAATTGAAAGAATTATTCTTTTCATAGACATGAAGAAAAGTTACACGAATTGAAAATAAATTTCTATAAATCCAATCATTACTTGATTTTTTCAAATGCTATTCTTTTTTTCTTCTGAATGTTAGCAAAAGTAGATTCCTTCTAATCTTTTTTTAATTATTAAAAGGAATCTATATCTTCAAAGTCTTCAATTTTATTTCTTGCTTTTGTAGGAATTTCATCTAATATCTCCTCTAATCCTTAGTAATCACTTTAGCCTAATTTAACATCGCTATAGTCATTCTCAAATCTGTTAGTTTGGCATTCATTAATTGATTCTTAGTCAAATGATTTTAAATGTAAACATGAGAAATCAGCTTAATCTATAATCGATGTTTTATCATTTTATGGTGTAGAAAAGTTTATTTTGGCGACTTTTGGCCAATTAATTTCATCATCTATTGGAATGTTTATCAGTATTGGTTGATTTCTATCGAATTTAGGGGAAAAATCTGATTTTCCCAAGAATTATAGATTTTATGATTCATACTTTTTTAGTTTAGTTTATGATCTACTCTTTATCTTTTAAATAGCCTCTTATATTTTATTTTTTAATTCTATCATTGTTTGAAATAACATAACAGCTATATTTACAATCATTAGAAGCAATATAATAAAACACTAAACCCATCCTGATTGATATTGAATTTCAGGATCTTCTAAATAATCTGTAAAGCAAATTAAAGCGTAAATGCAACTTAGTATGCAAATCTCGTTAAAAGCTTCAAGATAATTGATAGTCTTCTCTTTGAATGGTTAATTTATAATGAAGTAAATAATATAAATTATTTGCAGCAACATCAATATTTGTAAGTGGAATTAGGAGTAAAAATCATGAAAGAAAACTGCCACCATTCCTATTAACATTCTTCTAATTACAAACCATATATTGTATGATAATTTCATTAAATGCCTAAAGTCAAGATCTTCATAAAGACTTCCATACATTTGCTTTATAAGATCAGATTCTAATAAATTCCGAAAGTGTTTAAGAACATATAGAATTATCAGGGGAAACAATAAAAGTGATGCAAATAATGAAACTGACAATAGCGATGAAATCATATTAGTTATTGAATTGAATTCCAACTAAAAAAAAACAGTTGATATAATCTCATAATCTTACATTCATGATATTTAATGAGCAGGAAATAAAAATTTCTAAATAGCCTTCTAGGATAAACCTCAAATAGACGTTGTAAAATAAAGTCTTATGAAGATAATCGTAAATTTTGCTTAATCTAATTCCATAATTATCAAACTTTGGCTTACATTTTAATTCTTTTAATTTTAAAAGGTAGGAGTACCAAAGTTCCCGCAGTAACAATAATGATAATCATCATAAATAGAAACATAGATCCCATACTTAGTATTAAATTCATGCTGCTATATCTTGGAAAAGTTAAAATTTTGAAAAACAAAAGATTGCTTATTAAAGATATCCATTTCTTCAAATCTGAAATTCAAAGGTTTAAGGTCATCGTCAAATATAAAAAATGTGCTAATTATTTCTTCGCTTGGTAGAATATCAAATTAGGAGATTGAAATCATTTGATTAAAAACCATCTTTGCATTAGCAGGAAAGCTTAAATCCATGATAGGCATATGAAGAATTAGCTGTAGTGAGTTAATCATTCCCCACAAGTATTAAAGAGTAGTTGATCTATAATTTATCTGTTTCTAGAGAGAAAATTTACAGAAATAAATTCAAAATGAAGTTTCCTATTATCGCACCTTGAATTGTGTCTGCAGTTGATTCGCCATACTAAGATATTGCTTATGATAGTGCTAAAATTCTAATTAGATATTTACATTTATTTACTGTCTTTCGATAATTGTTTTGGAATCTACTTTTAGGCAATGAATTAATTTTTAATTGGCTTCTTTGAAGAACTGGACATAAAGTAATTGTTTAGTTTAAACTTCACTTGTAATATATCATAATCCTAAAATTATTAAATTTATATTAAAATAAGTACTGATTAAGAGATTGCCAGAGGAGAATCAAAGTCTAGTTTTAGGATTAAATATAATGGATTAAATTGCGTTATTTTCCAGTTGAACATTATTTATTTTAATTTATCTGTATTGGATTCAGAACTTACGGTTTATAACTATCTTTTAGCAATGCCATTTTTATTAATATTCACAGAGTTCTTTACTGAAATCTCTATAATTATGTCTGTAAAGTTTTTATAGCTTTTTGGAACAATCATCGGCTTTTTAAAAATTAATTAAACTTCTCCACTTTAGTCTATTTTTTCAATTGAAGCAATCTATTCATTATCATAAGTTTATTTACTTGTCATTTTATCAATTAAAAACATTCTCTCAAGCTCTGATAAAGCCTCAAAATTTATACCACTATCTATTATGTCTTCAACAGATTACTTACTGAAATCTTATTAAGGTTAATTTGGAATTTCTTATTCATTAGGAGGATTTTCATTTTTTTCAGGATCCTAATTTACATCTTATGCCCCTTCATTTTATTATATGGTATCATTTACAACTTATATTGTTAGAGAGTAGAAGTTTGCTAATTATAAATTTTAAGAGTCAAATATTGACACTTAGATAGTATAATCACCGATCTAATATTGCTTTTATGGTTTGAAAACAAATTTATTTGATCCAGAATTAAATTTTGTGAATAGTTAAGCTTAATTCAGGGAGACACTTATCAAATTTTTATTACCTTAAGGGTTAAGTATCTATGGAAGTTTGTAGGTAATTGGATGATTGATTTTTACAATTTAATTTACTAATGCCTGACTAAAGTAAGGAGAGCTTCCACCTTATGTAACAGTTAATGAAAGTGTAATATAAGTTGAATCACTTCTAGAATTTATCGATCCTATAATTTTAAATTCATGAATTCCAGCCTTGCTGTTATCAGAAGTTACAACTGTTATTTGTCAATCTTATTTTTTAAAACTAATATAATCTCCGTTATTTATCTCAACTTATGTCTTAGAATCTTACAGAGAGTACTAAATTTAATCAGTTTGACACTTAGATATAAATTGTTCAACCTAGAATTCTAGCTTGGGTTCATTTACTTTATATGTTTTAGTCAAATTATCTGGCTTTGTATAATAAGTACACCAGTCTGGATATGTTTTTTAATCTATTTTTATATCCTCTTTCTATATTTATGGATATATACCTAAAAGAACAGCGCAGTTTGAGGTAGATGAATCAACATAATTTAGCGGTTACTCTATTTCCCATTGGCAAATTGTATTTTAAAAGTCTAATTAAGTTGAATCTAAATCAGTAGCTGATCCAACGATATTTGAAACTTGGCTCTAAGTAATGGTGAAGCAACTTAACTAGTCACTCAAAGCCATTACATAAGGTGTTGATTTTGCAGGATTTTACTAGTAGTAAGTCTTTCCTTTAAAATCTATGTTATTAAAGTATCCTGCGAAAAATCCTACCAAATCGTTCTATTTAGTGAATTGCACCCCACCAATAGTAAATTGCGATGATTTTATCTAGAGTTGAGCAGCTAAAGTTGCGCTAATTATTCCAAAGTTATCTTGAGTGAATATGCACATACTAATTTTAGTTCCGCTATTACTGTCACTCTATTTGAATAAAATTATAAGTTCACCTCTATTAGATACTTCTCTAGAGTCAATATAAATACACTCTCCTAACTAAAAAGCAGGAGGCATTTACATTTAGCTTTCGGTTATTTAAAGAGAGTTTGAATTAAGAGATATTATATTTCCTTTGATAATTCTTATAGCATTATTTTGTGAATTAGCTGTACAAGCAAAGAAGTTTTATGATTATTGCAAAATAGTTATTTATTTAACACTTTCTCCTTATTAATTTCCTGTGCTACCAAAGCATATAGATTTATAGTTGAGAATCATTAATTCATTTTTAACTTCAATGCAAGGTCTGTAACTGCTAATTTCGTAACCTCCTCTGATCATTACCTTTAATGATGCTGAAAAAGCAAAGGATCTGTAGAAAATTTGAGTTGAATCAGTCATAATCATGTTTATAAGATAGTAATCATTTGAATCTAATCTTATAATATACTAAAATTTCCCAATCATATCTGAAAGTAGAATGATCAATTAATCATTGCTAAAAGCCATTTCTTCTAACACAAAATTCTTAATAATTGAATTTCCATTATTATCTTGTCCAGGATTCTTAAATGCCTACTGTTTTAAAAATACCTTTTGACTTATTGAATATACTAGATATGCAACATTTTAGTTCCCCTCTAAGCCTATAGCTAATTGATCATCATTATCTTCATTTATTCTCACAATTACTTTAGAAGAATCAGATTATTAAAAGTTTGGTAAAGCAAATTGGCTCAAGATTGTGCTATCAATATTTGTAATAATTACTATTGGAGTTAAGTATGTAGCATGATGATAAACAGAGGGATCATTAGTTAATCCTCCTAGAATCTGCAAATATCCGCTTTAACTTATCTGGATAGACTAAAATATAGTGTCTCCATTGTTTGCACCATAAACTCTTGGAAATGGTCATTTAACGCAATCATTAATGCTTGTACCTTTAATTTTTTCGCTTAAAGACATTAGAAATCTATGAGGGAAAATTAAGATTTTCGTTTTAATATTACAAGAAAATATAAGCGATGAACATGCTTTTTTTTTAATTGAACGTAAGTTTGCTGTTTCCTATCATTTTTTCTTTCATTAGTATTTATATTAAAGAAATTTATAATATTTAGTAGAATGGATTTGACTTGTAATTATTTATGTTAAATAGTGTTTAGAATTTGTTGAAAATTTAGTTCCTATGGGGTTTTGGGGTTTTGGGG